AGACGTCATGTCATTGTCATTAAAGACTAAAATAAACATGCCCTGTTATGTTATTTAGAGCCCCGCATGTTCCGACCGGGAGACACCATACCATTGTCTTTGGCCATGATGCACTGAGATCGGTGAGCACATATTGTATGTCTCAGTTAGTTTTAATCTGTTTTGACCTTTATAGTTGAATAACTGAATTCATCTGAATTGTTTGATTAATAATTGTTGCATATCCAATAACTTTACTTAGTTCGATTGGTAAGTTTTAATGTTTTCATACTGTATTTGGAAAAGTACTTATTTTGCAATTTACAAAAAAGTGTTCTGACAATACATTGCAGTAGCACATAGTTTGTATAAGAGAGATGTTTTATTTATTTTTTTGCAAATTTGAGTATTTTAATTACAAATTGATGTCAAATGTGATGTCAACAAAAGCCTAAGTTGTGGATTATAGCTAGAACAGCATAATTAATATTTGAATTACTCTTCTGACCCTGCCTGTTGACAGGTCAGGTGTTTTTTAGTATGCTGGATTGCTCCTCAGGTGGATTCCTCCAGTGAATTACATGGCGAGCCTTCCCACCTGGACTTAAAGAGACTGAGAATCCCTTCTTTTCCACTTGATGATCTGCTGCACCTTGCAGTGTGGTAGGACTGTATCACTCACACAGTTGGTTATACAAAAGACCACTGACTGACATTTTCCCATCCCTATTTTCTTTCACACCCTGGGAATTTTTGGACTGTACCCCTTGGACGTGTTTTATTTGGGAGTGTGCATAATAAGCGGCTGTGTAGAACATTCTCCACATGTGAAAGGTGTGTGAGATTTTCTTTTGAATGGACAGTGAATTTGAGTCATCGGTTTTCCATAACAGTTAAGGAGTCAGGGCACCAGGGTGCACCCAGCATTAAGGATTAACACTTTGCCAAGTCACTGTTTTAGTAGTTTATGTGTTTTACTTTTCTTTCATTTTTTGTAATTTTCTTTTCCACAATTGTAAAGTGCCTTAAACCTGTGGTTGTGGTTGTCAACCATATGGTTTATAGACCCATTAATACAATCTTTTCAGCAATTCCCCTAACTGTGTTACACTAAGATGAATGATGGCTAGAGTTATTTATTCAACAGAGGCTAACATCGCTAGGATTATGCACTTGAATTGAAAGGAGAAAGAAACTAGAATTTAGTAAATTGCAGATTACATCTGCAATTTTGTCAGGGATATTTTGTGATACAAGCATAGCAGCAAGAGTGAAAGGTAAAGATTACAAGATGATAGCGAGACCTGCTATGATGTATGGTTTGGAGATGATGGTAGTGACAAAAGGGCCCACCAACCACATATGATTGTGTTACTGGTACCAGACCTAGAGCAAATCTAGACCTCTATCAATAGAAAGAACACTGAAGTTAGCATCTTTCTAATAGCACATGCTTGGTGTCAATTTCGGTATACCAGGTTATATTTTTTCCCTACCACCTGAGCCAGCTCACTACTAGCTGTTGATCAACTGCTATCTATTCTACCACCAATCAACACAATGTATCAAACCCCTAAAGTTCCTACTGGTGGTAGCCGACCCACAGGAGATGGGACACATGTGGCTCTTTCAGGCTAGGCCCAACCA